TGCCCCCCCCCGCCCCCCCCCCAGTTCAGATTTGTTATTTAGATGGACTGTGCCTCCGACCCTCTGACATTGACGTGGCAGCACCAAATGACGCAGGAATCCAGAGGAGTTTTCAAAACAAGACATTTTCTCTGGCATCTGTCACTAAAAGCGAATCACCCAGCTACTGCAGGGGTGGAGGGGTGGGGGTGTGGGCACGTGGGCTCTCCCTGCCTGCTGCCCTCTCTAGGAGGCAAGTGCGACCTCCCCCCGCCCCCGTGGGGACCCTACCTTACACGGGTGAGGGTCCACTCCGTAGGTCTCCAGTGTCTGCGCTTTTCTTAAGAAGTTCAGCTCTGATGTTGCTGGTGTTTGACCACTGGAATAAAGAAAAAGATGGTTTCAGGGTTTCCTGTTTCCATCGCTGCCCCCGAGGCAAATTATTATCAAGTGCTCAGGATGAGTCTCATACCACAATTTTTCCAAAGTGCACTCCCTGCTCTGTCCTCGGACCAACTTTAGAGATTTCAGTCCAGGGTCAAAACCCCACACGTCTTCGGGGAGAGGCAGGCTCCATAATGAATGACATGGGCTGAGTGGAACACAGTAGGGAGTGATGGGGACTGTGGCAAACTGGGGAGTGCAACCCCAGCTAAGGAGGGGAGCTGCTTCTCTGCTCCAAGACTGCAGTCATGTAGGAATGCAGGGCCCAGCTTGGCTAGATGTGATTTTTAATGAGAAGTCAGAGATACTGATTTTTTGTGTGGAATTTCATGATTTTAAACACTAAAACAGCAGACAAAACACATCTGCAGGCTGGCTGCAGGCCATGGGTTTCTCATCTGGGATCTGATCTAGACTGAAATGCACACAAGGGGCCTGGATATCTTGCTGTGCTGCCTCACCCGCTTCCTTTACCAAGAGGGCACATGGGAATGGAGGGTGACGAGACGCAGCAGGAGACAGTGCTGAGCTCCCCAGACTCCACTACAGCTCTGCTGTCCACGGGGTGACGACTATGAAAAGGAAACAAGCAGCAAAAGGAAGAAACCAGCCCTGGCACAAGCCATATGAAGAAGGGGCCTCGAGCACAGGGGTCCTCAAACTTTTTAAACAGGGGGCCAGTTCACTGTCCCTCAGACCGTTGGAGGGCCGGACTATAGTTTAAAAAAAAACCTATGAACAAATTCCTATGCACACTGCACATATCTTATTTTGAAGTAAAAAAACAAAACGGGAACAAATACAACATTTGTATTTGCATGTGGCCCGCGGGCCGTAGTTTGAGGACCCCCTGCTTAGCATCTTCATTCCCCCTCATCTGAGTTCAACACAGGCCGGTGGCATATTCCGTCGTCAGGCTCTCTCAGGGCCCTGAGCCCTGGCAAAGCAGACGCACTTCTACAGACGTGGGGGCGGCTTCGGTGTGAGGAGGGCTGGGCAATGTGTGAAGGGCAGAGAGACCAGCCACCCACGGCGGGAGGAGGCCAGGGTGTCCCTCTGGAGAGGCGACAATCAATCGGCACCGTAAGTGCCAGCCTCTGTGCTGCCTGCTGTAAAATATACCAAGACCTTTAGCGCCGTCTGGGCCCTTGAGGAACTCATGTTAGAGCTGGAGAAAGGAAACACAGACCCATTTTACAGTGTGAAGCAGGAGCTGAGCCTGTGTAAGAAGTATGTTTACTGCAGACTTCTACATCCACCCATGTGCTGAGGCACGGAAAGGTGTCTGGGAAATACTCATGCAGCAAGCCAAGGGCTGGGCTGCGTAGCTCCAATCATCGCTGGAGTTGGCCCAAACCGCTCGGGTCCACAGAGCAGCATCGTTTCCTGGGAGTCTCCCACCTCCTACAGGTTTCCGAAGGGCTGTTCCCACTACTCTGACACCCAAAACCCTCGTGACAGCCTCGAAGGGAGTCCCAGCACACCCTGCTATCTCCTTTGAACGCACCCTGAGCCCTCACACAGGCCCGTGTGCATTCCGACCTTTGCCACAAGGGGCCGCTATTTCCCTAAAAGTGATGGGAGGAGCCCGGTGGAGCCAGGCCTGCCCAGGGAGAGGGGTGGGAAGCTGCTGGGATCCCACCTTTGACAGGTGTCTCCATTCCGCTGGGAGGGTGGGGAACCAGTCCTGCCCCGCACGGTGGGCAGGCGGCCTGTTTATAAAGGCGAAGGAGGCTGTGGGGACATGTATGTCAGTAACATCTTTGCTTGAAGGTGAAGATTTGTTCTTTGTGTTTTGGGGTCCAGGGGATCAGGGTAGGGACTAGTTTAGATTTAATATTATCATTAGATACCTTTTACCCCCACTTGGGCGTTTTTCTTCCCCAGGAAGGCAGTTACACATATATTTTTAAGATTTAAAAAAAGTATAATGTATTGATATAATGGCGAGTTTTATTTTACAACAATCCATTGTATATCATGGTTTTCTTCACGGTTTATCTGTTTGGAGAGCCCGTGCTCCAGCGTGCCACATGAAGTGGAGCCCAAACACCGTGTGTGTGTGTGTGTGTGTGTGTGTTTAATCAATCTTTGTAGGAAATCCTATTTCATATGGGTGAAAGGATGCATTAATGCTATTTGATGAAATTAGAAATATCCTGGGTTAATTAAGAACCTGAGGAGCACACGCTCTTGCTTCCAGCTGCTTCTCTCCTCCTTCCCTCTGCGAAGGTGGAAGAGGCAGCGCTGAAGATGTGGTTTCTGACCGAGGGCTCTCAGGGCACCCACGGCATTGCCTGGTGCCGCCCCACCCACTGACCCGGAGCCCCTGTAACACGGTCTCCGACTGAGGCCAGAGGCTCGCTCGTTTTTCACATTCCCACGCAACTCCTCCTCTAATCTTTTTTTTCCCCTTCTGCTATTTCCCTTACGTTTTTTTTTTTTCCTTTTTGCTAGTTCATGCTTTTGACCTCTGTCTCTTCATTTTTCTTGGAGAAGCAAATACCTCTGCGCCAATCTCCCTGTTTTCCTTACTATGCAGCGTCTTTCTCTTGCCTTTGAGTCTCAGCCTACACCACTCTTCGTGGAGGTGAGCCCACAGGGCGTGGGGCCGTGCTGTCAGTGGGTCACCGGAAATGGCACATCCAGAGGCAGGAAGGTCAGAGTCCTGGGCTGGAACGGAGTGTCACTCACCTGAGTTCTGTCCTGTGAATCTCAGCAATTTTCCTTTCCAGCTTCTCTGAATGTTTAGGGAAAAACTGGAATTTGGAGCTGTAGCCTTCAGGGTGTTTTCCTGGGTCATAATCTCCAATCTCCGCTTGCAAAAGGAAAGCAGAGGAAGACAACTGTGAGCATTGGCAAGGCAACAGAAGACAAACACACAGAGCAAAGTCAGCGCACGCACCAGACTTACACGGAACAGTGGACCTTGAGCGTGGCTGTGGGGCGGGCGGAGGGCATGCACCTCAAGAGCATGTCCACGTTTGTTCTCCCAGGTGTGCAGACTGGGCTGATGCCAAGTCTAAGCAGAGAGATGGTAGAGCTGACCCCGTGTTCAGGAGGGCACCACAAGTAAATTTGCAATGAAAGAGCAGAGGTCTACACCATGGCCCTCCTCCATTCGGTTAGGAGACGAGGGCTTGGGAGCAGTGCTCTTGGTGTCAACACAGGACACTGTGAGCTTGATCAGGAAGACAGAACCTCTTGGGCCCGAGTCAGGTCAGAAATCCCGCTTTGAGGATTTTAGTAGGGACACAGCAAATGGATGAATGAGCCCTGACCCAGACTCAGAACTCAACTTTCCGTCCGAATGAAATGAAATCAAGTGAATAAATTTGAATAAATATTCACTGAGAGCTGAGCAGGTGCCAGGTCCCCTGGAGAGGACTGCGGAGCAGGGAATACTGGCTGTAAGGAGAAAGTGCCCTTGAGATCTGCAGCACCAGTGCCCAGGCTGGCTTCTCAGCTCCCTGCAGGCGTGGGGCTTCGTCCGGGAGTCCATCCTCAAGCTGCTAAGCCAGCCGTGGGCAAACTACGGCCCAGTGTGTTCCGAGGTGAGATCCCAGCTCTTCCCACGGGAAGTGCTCCACAGGCACGCGGTGGAGATGTGAGGAGGAAGGATGTGAAGAAGTTCTAGCTGCTATGGTTGCCCTTACTCCTTCCCTCATGAGAACCACAACCAGTGCTGAGAGAAGTATGGAAGGATGAGTAGCTATCAAGGGGAAATGAGCCCTCCTCTCACAGTTGAATATTATCCTTCCAAATACGTGGGGATTTCTATTTTTGAGCAAGAGACTAAAGGCTTCTCTGGGCCTAACGTCCAGAGGGACCTCGAGCCGTGGAGTCATTTATTATGACTTTGTTTAGAAAGCTCCAAATGGGAAACATCAATGTTGGACACCATTTCCTTAAAGGAAAGAAACGGAAACATTCAATATGGTTGCCAGGGTAAACTGAAGGAAAGACTCGAGTTTAAAACTGCACGTAGATGGAACCGGGTTTGCCTTTAAAATGAAAAGGGCCTCTTTGGGGACCTTAGGGTTGGGAAGACCTTCCTGCTTAGGCGATTGTTAAAAATAGGAGTCTCAGCATGCCAAGTTGTAATGGGCTGACTGTTACATTCTTCACGCAGCTCGGCTATTTCTCTTGCCAGAAGAATTTTAGTTTCTATTGGCAAGGATTTTCCAGGTTCTCTTCATAAAGTAGCCTCCCAGAGTTCACAGATTTCCAATTAAGCGTTCAGATTCTTTGATGGAAACTTCACGACCTTAGTGCTATGGTCCACAACGGTCCAGTGACAGTGTCAGGCGTAAGGACTAAAATAAGTCTAGGAAGTGGCACTTAGAAGTCCCTTGCATTTCATGAGAGGAGAGGGATTATATGTGAAGAGTGCTTACCTTTCCCACTGTTTTTGCAAAAACAAAACAAAACAAAAAAACGGAAGAAAAAAAAAAGCCAGTCTGGGCACCAGCTGAGTACAACTTTCCCACTGTTTTTGCAAAAACAAAACAAAACAAAACAAAAAACAGAAGAAAAAATAAGCCAATCTGGGCACCAGCTGAGTACAGACTCAACTCTACCTTATTAGCATGTTAGGAAATGTGTTTGTTACGTGGAAACATTTTCAACTTTGAGCACTCTGAACAGAAAGGGCTCTGAAATAGGCGCCAGAACTCCAAGGTGCTTCACTTCTTTGAGATTCACATGAAAGGAAACGTGGATTCAGATGACTCTCCAGTCTCGGTAACCTTATCACCCAAGGGTGCAGGGAAAACACCCCCAACACCGTGCGAATGACTCGCAGGGCTGGCACAAAGACCTCGGGCCCAGTGTCGGGCTCAGTGGTCAGAGCCTTCTCCGTCTAGGGAGTCGCGGCAAAGCCCTCGAATTCTCTGCTTCAAGTTAGATATGGCTGTGTGTACCCAAGAAGTAGTCATCTGTGGTAACGGAAATAATGTAATCTGCACTTAGCATGAAAAGCGAATTTGTCCTGTCAAAAGTCATTACCTTGAAGGATATAAGCCGCTAACAAGGCGGCATCGGACGTTTTGCAGAGGAGGCGGCCGTGGTAGAGATCCCTTTTGATCTGCAGGAAGACCAAATACCTGGAGAGAAAACACGGGCTGCATGATAAGAATTTCTTTGATTGCTTTAAAGACAGCAGCTCTGTCAGGACACTTTTACTACATTAAAAAAAAAAAATCTCAAAACATACCACAGAACAAATACAATTTCATTTCCCTGAAGACTCTTTCAAGTACTTTGCTCTGAACTGATTTGAGGTTCGATTCAAAACAACCTGTCAGTCTCTTTCTGTAGCTCAAAACAGAAATGGCACTCCCTGCTAAAAACACTGTCCGCCCAGTGCTGGGCCGTGGAGGAGCCAGCCCAGATCAACTCATTCCCAAAAGGAAACCTATGTCGGAGGAGAGGGGCCGTCTGGGCCTCTCTCGGCCTCAGACTCTGGCTGATGTTCCTTCCTAAGAAGTGGTCAGGGGTGAGAGACGCGCCCAGCGAGCTCTGCCTTGGCCTGTCGGGAGAACCTGTGGGTCTGTGCAGCAGCCTCATCATTGACAGAGGTCAGCCTGATGTGTCAGAATTAAATGAGGTGTGAGAAGAGGCCGACTGAAGGAAGCGTGGAAACTAGTGGCTAATACTGCTTCACGTCCATGAAGCTCTCGCCTCAGGTGGGAGGATTTCAGAGCAACAGCTAACAGCAACTGCCGTGTACTGAGCGCGCACTGTCTGCCTGCCCAGGGGTGACGCACTTTACATGCAACATCTCACCTAACCCTCACCTGACACTTTGAGGTGGGTACTATTATTATCCCCCCACCCCACCCACTTCCCCCTTTTAAAAAAAAGACAGTGAGGCTCATGTGATTTTCACATGGACACACACTGGTAAGAGGCAGAGCCAGGATTCAAATGCCGGACTGTCAGACTCCCGAGGCTGGCTCTTCGTCACTATGTTGTACTCCTTGCACTCTCACGGCTTCCTAGTTTCACAAGCAGCTGGTGCACCCTGTCCCAGCGAAATGGAATTGCTGACTTCCATTTTGAAAATGTCTTTCCAAGGAGTGGGGTCTGCAATGTTCATAATTTCACTGGTACCCCAGGAAGAGCAAGAGCCAGGGGTAGCAAACTCTTATGGACATATGTTTAAACCCCCACAGTGGTTCCCTGGCCGGGGGTGGGGGGTGGCGGGCGTTTAAACATACTAGTATGTCCGTAAATTCTTTGCTACTCCTCGTCTCCAGAGGTAGAGCTTAACTCCCTCCCTCTGAGTGTGGGCAGGACTTAGTGACTTGCGCCTGACAAACAACAGAGCAGGAGTGGTAGATCTGACATCGAAGACGAGGTCACGGAGCCACGGCACCTTCCTCCCTTTCTCTCTTCCTCCTGGACCTCTCCTCTTGCCTGAGGATGCTTAACAGCCCTTTAGAGAGATCCCTGTGGCGAGGAGCTGAGGCCTTTGCCAACAGCTCGCCAGGGAGGCACACTTTCTGCCAACAGCCGTGTGAGTAACCGTCCTGCAAGTGAATCCTCCAGTCAGGCCTTCAGATGCCTGCAGTCCCCTGAGAGACCCTGCGCCAGAACCCGCCAGCGAAGCCGTTCCAGAGCCCCTGGCCCACAGAAACCGAGAGATGATACATGCTTGTTCGCTGAAGTTCTGTGGCACTTGCTAGACAGCCTTAGCTACTACAGCTTCCCTAGGGCAGTAATGGACAAGTAGTGAAATCCCCTTAAATTCTATCAGAAAAGAAACTGGGCGCTCCCTGGACAACTAGGAGTTCCCCCCGCTTCTGTTTTCAGGATGAAGAATGAAACAGGATTCTAGGCTCACCTGATCCTGTGAAAGTGCTCAAGAAGAAGAGGTCAGGATGAAGAATGAAACAGGATTCTAGGCTCACCTGTGAAAGTGCTCAAGAAGAAGACCACCACCGACAGTGCAATGCGGGTGGGGAGGGGTCCCCCAGGTGACTGAGAACCGTGGGCTTGGTGAGTCCAATAATTAACAAACAGAAATTAGGAGCAAGCAAACCTCTTCTCTCCTAAGGCCCCGCTATTCCAAGTGTGTCCCTAATAGCAGCAGCATCTGGGAGCTTGTTGGCAATGGAGACCATAGGCCCATCCTAGACCTACTGAATCATTTTAACAAGATTCCCAGGGGATTTGTGTACAGATTAAACATAAGCATCCTTCTAACCACACCAGGTTGGACTTTCCTCCTCAAAACAAAGGGAAGGTGAGTATTACAGTCTGGAAGTTAAGAGCTCCCCTCCTCACCTCAACCACCATCACCAGCCCAAACCCACTCTGCCCCAGTGTTTGCAGAGAAAAACTGAAGGAAAAAGAAACCACGCAGAATGAAAAACCAAGATGGATCTACCAAATCAAGCTCGTCTTCACTCTGCTTCCCACAGTGAAATGCCACACGGTGTGTGGGAGAGAGGGAGGGAAGGAAGAGGGGGAGGGGAAAGGGCTTCTGGCCTCTCACTGTTCCAGCTCCCACCTTCCCCAGGCATTGGCAGGAGGTGGAAGCAAACCTCTGGCCCCTTATTCACCAATCACTCCTCCCACACCCCTCTGTTTATCTCTGTCCAAAATTCAGGGACAGTACATACTGGATTGAAGGAGATATTTCAAAGGGACAGTTGGCTCCGGGCGGTGATTCTCAATGTGGTGGTTAGGAGAGCATCCCCCAGGGGAGCGTGTCAGAATCTCTGTGGGTGTGGGTGTGGGTGTGGGTGTGGGTGCTCCTGGATTTGAAGAAGCCCCTTTAGAGCCCTCTTTGCCCAAGGTGGACATGCTCCTGCTCACACTGAGCATGTTTTCATGAGGCATCTTTATTGATGGGTGCATGACAGGTGCTCAGGTGAGCTGAAAAGGAAACAAGGCTTTTGCACTGGGGGCCGGGGCTCCTTCAGACTTCTGGAGGCAGGACAGCTATAGGGAGGCCATGGGAACATTGCCAGGTACTGGTACAGCAACTGGAGGGGGAGTGGGAAGGAAAGGCAAGCCAACATCCTAAAGAAACAAACCACATACTTTAGAGGACAAGAAGAGATGAGCTCATGAAAGAACGAACTGGCAGCTTTAAGGTAAGAGAGTCCCTCTTCTACTACAGCACGTCCATCAAGCTCCATATTTTTTGCTCCTTCAAGGTGGTAACCAATGACTCAGTGTTGTTGGTCATGAAAATATATCCCATGATTCATAGCATCCTTAGACCTAGTCTCAAGAGACCCTGGCATGTTCCTTCCTGCCACACACGGGCCTAAGGAAGACCACCTTGTTGCCCGAGGCATTGCCACCAGGGCCAGTGTGTGGCCAGGCAAGGGATCAGTTAACAGGAAGCACCCATTTGGGTCAGTGCTGATGAGCAGACTGGCTGGGTCAGCAACCCCAGAGCCGGAGTTACAGCCCAGTTCTCTTGTTCTGTAGCTGAGGAAGCAGAAGTCCAGAGATGTAGAGTGACTTGTCTGAAGTGACACAGTGATCGGAATCAGCAAGGCCTCCGGACCCAGGACCTGGTGCTTCTGTCCCTGTAGTAATTCAGTTAGTTATCAGGTTGGAGAGGGGTGCCCTAAATGAAGCCTGAGAGAACTTGTCTTCAGAAAGACATCCTCATGGGAACCAAACAAGAAATTAGCTTTAGACCAGACTGAAGACAGGCCTGCTCCTTTAGGATACTTTTTTTGGGTAAAATTTTCCCATTTCCTTTAGGCCCCTGGAGGCTTTGCTTCACCTCCATTTGTAATGTTTGTGTTGTCCCATATTGACGGGGTGTGAATAAGTGAGAGCCTAAAAGACGACAAAGGAAAACCTGAGTTTTTCTGTAACGTGGACATCTCTTCCAGGTACTGTCTGCGGCATATGCTTTCTGATACAAGAGGGCGGGGACGAGTCAATCCACAGATATTTCCAGAATTAAAGGTCTGACCCTGGGAAAGCACTGGCGGCTCCTGAAGACTTTCTTCCAGGAGATCCTTTGGCCCCACCTTCCCTTCATTAGATTCTCTGCCTCTGGCTTCCTCTATTTTCCACCGCCCTTTTTCCTGGGTATAATCATGCTCAATATGTCTTCCTCCATCACACTAGACTCCAAGCTCCTTGAAGTCAGAGATGATATTTTATTTGTTTTTAATATTCTTCTAGAAAGCCCATAGATCCTTTGCCTAGTTCCCCTGCTCCCTCCCTCCCACTGGCCATCAGCCTGCTGGTTCTGAGCACTTACATGTGCCAGGCACTACTCAGGTGCCACGAGTTCAGCAGGGAACATTCCAGTGGGAGAACAGATGACAAAAATAACAAAACGAAATAATAATAATAATAATAATAATAATAATAAGCCCAGCTGGCATGGCTCAGTGGTTGAGCGTTGGCCTATGAACCAACAGGTCATAGTTTGATTCCCGGTCAGAGCATATGTCTGGGTTACGCCTGCAGGAGGCAAGCCAATCATTCTCTCTCATCATTGATGTTTCTGTCTCTCCCTCTCCCTTCCTCTCTGAAATCAATACAAATATATTTTAAAATAATAATAATGATTTACCGAGTGCATGCTGTGTGCTACACATTGTACTATTTAACACACACACTCTCATTTAATCCTCACAGCAAAGAGGTGACGACTGGTTTTATCTCCATCTCCCATAGTGCTGCTTGCCTTGTCACGCGCTAGTTAAAGGAAAACCTGGGATTTGAACCTGGCGTTTTTGAACCTTTTTTGATTCCTTAGCCAGGGTCAGCAAACTACAGCTTGCCACCAGAGTTTCCAATGAAACAAAATACGATTTTATTGGAACACAAACATGCTCATCCCTTTATATATCACCCACAGTGCTTTTACTCAACAATGGCAGAGACCAGATGGCCACAACGCCTAAAATACTAACTCTTGTGGCCTTTTACAGAAAAAAGTTTGCCAATCCATCTTAGCCTAAGCTGGGCTCAACGGATACTCATTGAAGGAAAGAATAACTTGAGCACTCCATTCATTCACGCATATATTTGCTCCCTCTGTTAGCACTGTTTTGAGCACCTGCTCAAACATGTGTCAGGCAGTTTGCTTCCTGGGAAGGCGGGGCCCCTTTTGTACTCAGTTTCCTCTATTACTTGATCTTCCCAAGGCATCCATACACCTGCAGTCCCTGCTAAAAGCTAAATTTGGTGCCTAATCCCCATTTTCTCTGCCTTGTCTCCAGCTCAGACAAGAAAATCTATTTATTACTTTAAAAAATGACAAAAGAGATTAATCAGGATTTGGCCACTAAATGTATCATCTGGGAAGAGTCCAAGAGATAAACTGAAGCGTAGTTCTTCACTCCCTACTTCATCTCCTCCTCTCAGCCTGGCTTTATGGGAATGGCTGAGACGGTGGTGAAATTTAGGAGCAATATTGCTAGGAAAAAACACACTGACAGCTAAATTAGTTTGGCAGGAAAGTGGTGTGGAGGGCTCTAAGCCAGGAATGAATTATGGGTATTGAGTAAGGCTGGGGCAGGTACCTGCTGTTTTAAGAGCAGCAGGGATGTGAATGAGGAGAAAGATGCTGCTAATTCTAAGGCCACCACTGAACGCCTTGGGGAGGGGGAGGCAGTTGGCCTGTGACTAACTCTGCTGACACGCTTGGAAACTGCATTCTAGGAAAGGAAGGCTGGTGAGATGGAGAGAGGGGAGAACAGCGGAGGATGGTCAGCACAAATGCATGCAGACGGGGAGGAGCTCACACACTTGTCAGTGTCCTTGAAGTCTGCTGACTTACTGAGAGGCCTGGCCACGGTCCCCTACTGCGCTGACCCGGACGTGGGCAATCACCTAAGATACCTTTCTCTCTGGGTTCTCAGGTTAGCCGCTTACGTGTTAGGGCTGTCGCTGGCAGGGAAAGGGGACAGAAGAGGTGAGGGGATTATCAGAAAAGAAGTGCCTTTCACAAAAAAAGGAGGAAAGTCAGAGCTAGCTGTACTTGTGCCCCATAAGCAGAGCCCTTGGGGTCCATGGACCATGTAACTAATCTGGCAGTAAACAGGTATCAAGCGTTTGCACAGTGTAAGCCTCTTGGGGGGTATTAAGAAGTGCAAGACCTTGTATAGTGGTTAATCCTTCCAGCAATTCTATGCGGTAGCTCTTGCTAGCCTCATTTTATACACGAGGAATCTGAAGGTCAAGGAGGTTCAATATCTTATATGGATGGAACTGGAGAGCATTATGCTAAGCGAAATAAGCCAGTCAGAGAAAGATAAATATCACATGATCTCACTCATTTATGGAATATAATGAAGAACATAAACTGATGAACAAAAACAGATCCAGAGACAGAGAAGCATCGATCAGAC